AAAAAGAGGTTATTTATTCCATGTCATTAGTCACTTTATGTGGTGCTTACACAAATCTGCTGTTCTTTGCTTTCTATTCCAAAATCTTTCCAATAATTATTTTCCATAGATGGTGATTCCAACTGAAGGCAAGAGAGAAAAGTACACTGACATTTACCAAGACCTTGAGGGAATTAAGAGGGAACGTGAGAGCAGCACATCATGAGAGCTGATGTCAAGGCTGGTCAAACCAAGAAATGGTCTCACAACCTTCCAACGTTGGAACAGAACCATCACCAAGAAAAACAATGTGACCTTGGAACACTGGTGACCCCAAAGCACATCTCTACGTCTTGAAAAGAAAAAAGAGGAGACGTAGAAAATCCCCCAGAACCAGACTCCAATTTGGCTGATGGTTCATCATAACATCACAGGCACTGGGAGTGAGCTCCTTGGTGATAAGGGCACAAGTAAAAATGGAAATCGAACACACAGCCCAAGTCAGGTCCCTGATTAGCTGACGTGCTCCTAACACCTGCTAGGCTCAGGTCAGGACATCAGCAGAGGTCCCTGGCCTGCAGCCCATTCCCCTTCTCTTGCCATCCCCATCTGGTCACTGTAACAAAGGGCCTTGCACATGAATGTGGACACCCTGGGCTGCATGCTTGAGCTCCGTCCATGTCCATGTCCCAGCCAAGGCATGCAGCAAACGGGGCCCTAGGGAAGATGAACCCAGTGCAGGCTCTGGCGGCTAGCAAAGGGGCATCTGGATGGAGAATTATAGAAAAGGGAGCATCTGCAGACCTCTTTCCCCACTGGGGAGCAACGGCCAGAGTGGGTGCCCCATGAAACATATAACCTTATCTCTTTGGGCCAACGCCGACATCTTGTGCTATCCCAAGTGTGAGCAGTTTTGGTCTTAAAAGGAAAGTCCCCTCCTCTTCCCTTCAGGGAAAAGTGCTGAAGAAGGCAGGAGACTGGTGGTCCAAGACCTGCCCCTTATAAACCATGTGACCCTGTGCCGTGACTGACCTTCCTAAACCCATCCCTGTGTGTACAAAATGAAGACAATCACCTACCTCACAACCTTGTTGGCAGGACTCAAAGCATGATAAAGTGCTGGGCAAATAGAAGATGTTTCCTTTCTCATGGAGAGTCAGGGAGGCGAATATGGTTCCGCCGAAACAGGCCTGGGCTTATGGAAATGATCAGTGTCTTCAAGGAATAACACCTGTCTAAAGGATGCCCTTCAGGACTGAATAAGGAAGTACGTGTGCAAAGACACCTGGCACCTCAGGGACTATATTCACTTCTCTTCCCGGGTCCACAAGGGGTGTGACTTCAAAGGCAAGAACTTCCCAGCGCCATGCCTCCATCCACCTTCCCATCCGGGAACCTAGAGTTCTTTGTCCAACTTGACCCTGCACGAGCTAGGTAAAATTTCAGGTGTGCTCCTTTGTTTAAAAAGACCTCAAAAAGCTCTGGGAGGAAGGGCCTCTGTTCTAGGCCAGACAGCCAATCCAGCATCAGAGTCAAAGATCAATCACTCGAGAGGTAGTTTGAAAGAACTCTCATTGGACAAGAACATGAATGGGGCGGGAATAACTTCAAAGTAACACCCCCCCCCCCCACGCTCTGCACCTTACCTGCGTGGATTTCCCTCTCTGGGATCTCCTCCCACAACAACATGGGAGCTGTCTCTCCCTCTCTACCTATGCGGATATCCCATCCGGATCCCCCTCCCACAGCAGCGTGGGAGCTCTCTCTCGATCGCTCTCCTTCCTTTCTCTCTCTCTGCCTAATAAATCGCTTATTTGCAAAACTCTTTGGTCCGATATTTATATGAACGCTAAGCTCACCGCACTGACAGGGCCCTCTTCCCCATTCCTGGGGCAAAGAGAGGCCAAGAACCTCAGGCTCATCTTACCGGGATAGGAAGCCGAGCCCCGTCCCATCCCACGACCCGGTAACACACCCAGAAAGAACTCAAAAACTATTCGTGGTGGAGGTGGAGCCAGTGGTGGTAACCATTCCCGGTGGTACTGGTGGTGCCAGGCACCTCCAGCAGATATTTGGCTAAACTGCCTATTTTAATGATCATGATAACCAATGAGGTGTGTTTCTGTAGCACCTAAGGGTAAAGTGGGGCCAAGATCACATGGCTTGCGAGTGAGCAGTGAGGCCGGGAAACAGAGCCCTATCTGTCTGCATCCGACCCATCTTCCCACCACACACAGCACCACCTGGCTGGTTGTCTTGCAGACTCTGGGGATAATTCATTCACAACACTCTTACCTGCTCACCACAGGAAGCCTGTTCACAGCACCCAAGGCCAGATCAGCCACTGAGACATTTACACTGGAGACTGCCGGCCATCTGCTTTGCCAGCAGACACACGACAGCCTGCTGTGTGCCCGTCCACCTCGACTTGGCTCATCAAAAAAACCCATCCCCGGGAAAATGAGCTTGCTGATAAACTAACTCAGCGTAACAAGAAATACCAGCGCCGGGCGCGGTGGCTCAAGCCTGTAATCCCAGCACTTTGGGAGGCCGAGGCGGGTGGATCACGAGGTCGAGAGATCGAGACCATCCTGGTCAACATGGTGAAACCCCGTCTCTACTAAAAGTGCAAAAAAATTAGCTGGGCATGGTGGCACGTGCCTGTAATCCCAGCTACTCAGGAGGCTGAGGCAGGAGAATTGCCTGACCCCAGGAGGCGGAGGTTGCGGTGAGCCGAGATCGCGCCATTGCACTCCAGCCTGGGTAACAAGGGCGAAACTCCGTCTCAAAAAAAAAAAAGAAATACCAGCAAATTTTGAGGCACTTTGCAACGACAGTCACACCCAGGTACTTGGTAGACCCAAGAAGATTCAAGTAGCAAGGCAGGGAGAGGCCAGTGACAGCCACCCAGAACAGCCATGTCTATTTGGTTCTCGAAAATAAGGGAAAACCAACTCTGTTTTCACAAGTGGTATGCTGTGTACACTGAGTCTCCATCAGGTGTCCTGGAATTCTCTGATAAATGAAAACCACAAGCAACTGTGGCCCCGCCAGACTGGACGGAAGCGCCGGCTCGCACCTGTCACCAGGAGCCGCCTGGGGGCCTTATGGGGCAGACTCTCTTCCTGCACTAAAGGGGCTATAGTGGACACCTTCCAGGTCCCTGGAGCTTGTCCCTGGCCCTGAGAAGATTAAATCACTTATTTGCGTAAGAAAAGATCTAACCCAAATACAGGAGGCACAGGCAGGCACAGGGAGCTGTGTTTACCATGCAAGCAACTCCTGGACCTGTGAACTCATGAGGCTGCTACAAGAAGCACGTGCAGGGAAGGTGAGTGGCTGGGGAGGCAGCCCAGCCTCCTCCCCGAAGACCTTCCTACAGCTCTCCCCTCTGCTGAGCCACAGTCCTCTGCGACTTTTTTGGTGGTGATGCTTGTAACATAACCCTTCTCTCCCCTTCCCTCTTCAGAAACTGGCAACACCAAGATGCCAATCTCTCTTTTCTTCTTTTTTGAGATGGAGTTTCTCTCCTTGCCCAGCCTGGAGTGCAATGGCGCAGTCTCAGCTCACCGCAACCTCCATCTCCTGGGTTCAGGTAATTCTCCTGCCTCAGCCTCCTGAGTAGCCGGGATTACAGGTGCCCACCACCAGGCCTGGCTAATTTTTGTATTTTTAGTAGAGGCAGCATTTCACCATGTTAGCCAGGCTGGTTTCAAACTCCTGACCTCAGGTGGGAGGTCAGGTGATCCACCCACCTCTGCCTCCCAAAGTGCCGGGGTTCCAGGCAGGAGCCACCATGCCTGGCTGCCAGTCTCTTTAAATGGCTTCAGCTGCCAAATCTTACCAGCCGGTTTGGGTCATTGATGTACCCCCATCCCTCTTCTCCTGCAGACCCCGATTTTCTGGGTAATTTCCCCTGATTCCCTTAAAATGATTCCAACACCCAAGAATCTCACCAAAGGGGACAAGCATGGAACACAAACTTACAACTGCATCAAGGGCCCTTTGAGGATAATGTGCTATGTCCTCATAAAGCATCCCCACATGGTGTAAGAATAACCATTCAACTCAAGAGATGCAGGCAGTAGAGGGAGGGGCTTTGATGTTATGACTCTGACTGGCTTCCCAAGGTGTTCCACAGCACTGCAGGGAAGACAGATTTTGTAGAAGAGGGCAAGGTGGGGATGGAGCCTCAACAGAATCTCCAAAACAAAAAGGCAAGTGGCAGCACCAGCGGACCCTCCGCCATTCAGAGACCGCTGCAGACACCAGAACACACTCATCCCTGTCAGGCTGGCTTGTCCCCGGCCATCCAAACAAGCCAAGCTTAGAAGATGGGTGCCCAGTGGAAGACACCTTCAGAGAAGACTGAGAGGATGGAGAAACCCACTCTCCAGGGCTGGCTTCCCATGCGGCTGTTTGGAGAAAGAGCTACCCTGGAGAAACTCAGTCACTGCAATGGTGGTAGAGAAGAACAGGCACAGGAGTAGTTCCTCACGGAGGAGGGACACAGACCACACCCCCAGCTTCTTGGTGACATCCAAGGGCACCAGTTGAAACAGAAGTGAGTGGGCTTTTCCTGTGGCTTTTGCTCACCTTGCTGTGAACCCTGGCCCAGAGGCATCCCCAGCTCCCCCACAGAAAGCGCCAAGCAAGCCAGGTATGAGGCAGTAATAAGCTAGCAGCTTTTTATGTGATTGTTTCCATCTTCTCTGGAGATGCCACAACACTCTCCGTAATCAATCAGGCCTCAGTATGTCCTAGCCAAGGAGCGAGCTTCCAGTAAATGAGCCAGTGAGCCTGCAATCGTATATGTAAACGTAAATCGTGTGTGTAGATGTAAAAACAGTATGCATGCCCCTCCCCCCCAAAGCCTTTCTCTAAATCGCCAGGATCCAGACACCTCCCGCCCAGCTCACACCCCCACCCTCCTCCCCAGCGTCGGGCCCACGTCCCTCTTCACAAAAGGCGGCCTAGCTGGCCTGCACCATAGAAAACATCCAAGCCCAAGGTACACATTGTTGGTGTCTAAAGGGTTTTTATTGGAGAGCCTGGAGCACTGAGGCTCCAGCAAGGATTTGCAAGGTCACTCTCAGCAGCCGCCCTTCTGCCAGGACCAGCAGCGAGCACCTGGCAGCCGGGGCCCGGCGTTCTGTGTCAGGCCAAGGAGTCCAGCTTGTCCATGGGATTCGGCTGCAGTTGTGGAAAACCCCGAGTGAGCCAGCAGTTCCAGTTCAAAGGTTGAGGGGTGAACAGCTGCGAGGTGCCCAGGCTCCCATGAGTCACCACCCGGGCCTGAGTACACCGTGGAGAGGAGAGATAAAGCAAGCACGGCTGTTCTGTTGCCAGTCCCACCCCTCTGGCAGACAGGAAAAACGGAGAAGAAAAGTCTACAAAGAAGGTGAAATAAAGGGAGCAGAGGCTACACGCAGGCCCCCGCGGCTGGTAGTGCTGTGTGCGGTGAGCCAGCTGCACCATCCTCACCTGGGGCTTCCCATGGGCTCTGCGCTTTCCTGCAGGGGGCCAGTCTCCCTTCCCAGCAGGTGGGGCCGAGGAGCTTCCATGCCCCTTCCCACATATCCCGACCCGTCTCAGAAAACTGAGAAACCTGAAGACGGAGGTGCGTCGGGAAAGGCTGGACTTCTCATCCAAAAAAAGAGAGCAGGACGATCAACAGGCAAACACCATAAACCCTGGAGCAATGCCAGGAAAGAAGGTGAGGGGGATAAAACATTTAAAAATAAAAATCAACTTTCTAGAGAGAGCAAGATCCCAGGGTCCAGAAGGCACTGCTGATAGACTTGAAAAGAAGCATCTTTGTTACAGCCAGTCGCCGCTAGCCTGGGAACACCGCGAGTCCGAGGCCTCCATCAACCTGAGACATCAGCCCAAGGCCCTGTCTGCAGAAGCCAGCACAGATCTCCAGGTAATGTCATAGGCAGTCCTCACTTCACCAGCTCGGACAGAGCCATTTCCCATGAACCTCTGCCTTCCCGGGGTCCTGTGGGGCCTCCTGGGTCCTGTGGGGCCTCCTGAGTCCGGGTGGGTTTCTAGTCCAGCCTGGTCTAGACTGACTTCAAATATAGTTCCCTAACATATGCTTTTTTCCAGCCAGCCAAATAACCATTCATTTAAATTACCACCGTGGTTTTTTAAAATTACACTTCTAAGGCAAACAACGCGGAACAGTGACAGAGCAGAGAAACAACAAAAAAGCACAAAGAATGTTACAGAAGCTGCCTAGCATTCTCCCTTCAGAGGAGAAACTTTCATAGGCATCACATGCACATGCACACATACACACACAGTTTTCCCTGATACTGGAAATTCTTTGTGAACTAGCCATACTGATTTCTGCTGAACCCTTAAAAAAAAAAAAGAAAGAAAGAAAGAAAGAAAAGAAAAGAAAGAAAAGGAGCCACAGATGTCCAGGATTGGAAGGGGCTGACCAGCTCTAAGCACGTCCACCTTAAACTCTGACGCAGGTAATGCCAGAATGAGGCCAGGACCTGACCCCGCCGAAAAGACAGCAAAGAGTCAGATGGAGTCCAATGTGCAGAAGCTGCAGAGAAGAACATCAGAAATTCTAAATACACAGTGGGCATCCTTTTTGTTTGTTTAGGTTCTTCATCCTCTTGATCTCTTTCACTATTGTCAACAATTGTCTTTAAAAAAAAAAAAAACTTTTTCAAAATCAACATGTTTCTACCCTTTGCTCCTTAGCAAGGCACAAAGCCTCTCTAGCAGGGAGTAGAAGTGGGGGACACTTTAAAGGGGCACCCAAAGGGTGGCAGAAGCAACTCTGCTGTGGTGACATGGAAACGAGCTTGCTGGTGACACTCTGGGCAGACGCCCAACACCCATGACGGAGCCGGAGCCGATGGAGCCAGGGTTTTATACATAATGTTTGTTTTGGTTTCAACACCTCTGACATGCCAGAGGGCTTCCAGGTCCTTCACACCCCAGGCTGCCGCTGACCAACTTTCCACAGGATGCCAACAGGCTGGGAAACAGGTTTTACCTAAAAGAAAGGGAAGGACAAGAGTCAGCCCCTTCTGGCAGAGCCCTGCCCCTACCCGGTCCCCACCCTAATATCTCCATCCCTCAACTTTCAGCCCTTGAAAAGTCCACACTCCCCAGCCACAGGACCTTTGAGCGTGCTGTGTGGAAGGCACACTCCACTCTTCCAGCAAACCCCCTCCCTCCCCTTAGCTCCCAACTAAGGACCCCTCCCCCAGCTCCCCACACAGACCCCCTAGAACACCTCTTTCTCCTTATATCCCTCCTTCCTAGCACTTCCAGGGTGTTTACACTAGGGGTTGGAAAACTTTCTGCAACAGTCCAGAGAGGAAATACACACACACACACACACACACACACACACACACACACATTTTTGAGACGAAGTCTCACTCTGTCACCCAGGCTGGAGTGCAGTGGCATCATCTTGGCTCACTGCAACCTCTGCCTCCCAGGTTCAAGTGATCCTCCTGCCTCAGCCTCCCAAGAAGCTGGGACTATAGGCACCTGTGACCACGCCCGGCTAATTTTTATATTTTTTAGTAGAGACAGGGTTTCATCATATTGACGAGGCTGGTCTCGAACTCCTAACCTTGTGATCCACCTGCCTCAGCCTCCCCAAGTGCTGGGATTACAGGCATAAGCCACTGCACCTGGCCCAGAGAGGAACTGTTTTAAGCCCTGCAGGTCCCACAGTGGTGGTGACAACTCCTCAACCTGTCATTGTGGTGGAACAGCAGACACAGACAGCAAGAAATGCTCAGCCATGGCTGCATTCCAGTAAAACCTTATTTATAGATGCTGAAATTTAAATTGCATATAACTTTCTCATGTCATAAAATAGTATTCTTCCCTTGTTTCTTTTTCAACCATTAAAATATGAAAATCATTCTTGGCCCTTGAGCTGTACATAAACAAGCAGGGGGCTGGATCTGACCCACGGGCCACAGTATGCTGACTCCTGGTTTATGAATCTGATTAGTGTTGGTCTCTTGCTTAGACAGGGAGCTTGTGAGACAAAACGCACGTCTGAGTTTCCTTACCTTTAAACTGCCCAGGTCCACACCATAGTCTCAGACAACGTAAGAAGTGCAAGATATATGTTTAAAAACTGAATCTGTGGCTGGGCGCAGTGGCTCATGCCTATAATCCTAGCACTTTGAGAGGCGAAGACGGGCAGATCACTTGAGGTCAGGGGTTCAAGACCAGCCTGGCCAACATGGTGAAACCCTGTCTCTAATGAAAACATAAAAATTAGCCAGGTGTGTGATACATGCCTGTAATCCCAGCTCTTTGGGAGGCTGAGGCATGAGACTCACTTGAACCCAGGAGGCGGAGGTTGCAGTGAGCTGAGATCACGTCACTGCACTCCAGCCTGGGTGACAGAGCACAACTCAGAAAAAACTGAATCAGCTCAAGACATTGTCTAAAGCAAGCATCCCCAAACTTTTTACACAGGGGGCCAGTTCACTGCCCCTCAGACGGTTGGAGGGCCACCACATACTGTGCTCCTCTCACTGACCACCAATGAAAGCAGTGCCCCTTCCTGAAGTGTGGCGGGGCGGGGGGCGGGGGTGGATAAATGGCCTCAGGGGGCCGCATGCAGCCCGCGGGCCGTAGTTTGGGGACACCTGGTCTAAGGGGATTTAGAAAAGGAGGGAAAATCTGACCAGTTAAAGCTGCCACCATCACCTCTTGATGTTTGTGGGCATTATATAATCACATAAGCAAAAATAATGGGGATTTAATAGAATTGACAAAACAATGAACTTCCTGTCATAATATGATATCAAATATATTACTGTATCAAGTAGCTGTTTACTAGAAGATGTAAACATCCTATTTTTAGGAAATACATACTTATTTGCAGGAAAGAGTCATGATATATATAACTCACCCTCCGACAGTTCAGTACAAACCTTTTGTATGTACACACATACATACATACACAGATGAATCAGGGAAAGCAAATAGGCAAAAAACGTTAACGGAAAACGTGGGTTAAAGGCATAAGGGTGTTTCCTACACTATTTTTATTTTGTCATTAAGTTTAATTTTTTTTTTCTAAATAAAAAGATGTTTAAAGAGAAAACATAGGCCAGGCACAATGGCTCACGCCTATAATCCCAGCACTTTGGGAGGCCAAGGCGGGCGGATCACAAGGTCAAGAAATCGAGACCATCCTGGCCGACATTGTGAAATCCTGTCTCTACTAAAAATACAGAAATTAGCTGGGCATGGTGGCACATGCCTGTAGTCCCTACTACTCGGGAGGCTGAGGCAGAATTGCTTGATCCCGGGAGACAGAGTTTGCAGTGAGCCAATATCATGCCACTACCCTCTAGCCTGGTGACAGAGTAAGACTCCATCTCTCAAAAAAAAAAAAAAAAAAAATGGAGAGAGAGAGAGAGAGAGAAAACATAAGCCAGACATGATGGGTCACGCCTGTAATCCCAGCACTTTGGGAGGCCAAGGCAGAAGGATCACTGGAATCCGGTAGTTTGAGACCAACCTAGGCAACACAATGAGACTTTGTCTCTACAAAACTACAAAAATGAGCTGGGCATGGTGGGGTGTGCCTATAGTCCCAGCTACTCAAGAGGCTGAGTAGGAAGATCACCCAGGAGGTTGAGGCTACAAGTGAGCCAAGATCTTGCCACTGCACTCCAGCCTGGGTAACAGAGCAAGACCCAGTCTCACATAGATAGATAGAGAGACAGAGATACAGAGATAAAGAGTGTCTTCATATTAGCCACTAAAGTCCTCTACTCAACAGACCAGAGAAAGGAAAAGAATAAATCCCCAGCAGCCATGTCCAAGTTGTGCAGGAGGCTGGCTTTCTTACAGCGGCCCCCTGGCCCCTTCTCTGGGTTTGGGAGTGGGGGAGCTAACTCCACAAACTGACATCTCAGAGCCCAGGCACTCACCCCCACCACAAAGAGGAAGGGACTGAGGACCCCCAAAGTTAAGGGTCCTACCAGGTCTGTCTCTATTATCGGGACTTCCTCTGCGTCCCGCTGCAAGGTCACTGCAAGGCTGAGGGGTGGGGGGCACAGGGACTGGGGAGGAGCACTGAAGATTTCAAAGACCAAGAATCCAAGCAGAGGGCAAGGGCCCAATCTCCGTAGCTGCACCAGAGCAGAACTAGCCACAGCAAGCCTGTGGACTCTGGGAAGAGCAGCCAGCAGAAGTGGTAGAGATGCAAGCTCTGTTAGCTGTGCTAAAGGAGTATCCTCCAGGACTGCTCTGAATCTTACACGGATCCCCATCAGGTTCTCTGCCCTCGGCCTCACCCCCCAGGTTGCTGTCTACATCTGTGTGCTTCAGAAACGCCCACGTGTACACAGGGTAGGGAGCCCTGCTCATCGCAGAATCCTTCAGGCGCCTCCACGGGGAGCAGCTAGCTCTCCAGGTCCCTCCAGAAGGTGATAGAGCCACACTCCAAGTTTCAGCCATGTAGTTGGCTGGGCCTCAGGCTCTCTGGCATGACTGGGACTCAGGAACCATATGCCAGGGACAGTGGAGTGGGACAGGCTGTCTACAGAGGAGGCTGGCTGTAAAGTCCTGGCTCTCTCAATGTCATCAAGCTGTTGCCCTGTGGCCATGTCTGGGCTAGAAGCTGTGGGGTTCCCTCAAGGAGAGATTGGGAGAAGAGGCTCAAAGTTGCCACTCACCCAGTATCCCTATGCTGGCTCAAACTGCCCTGTGCTGTTCCTTCTGACATCTGCTGTCACTGCTCCCTGGAGTACCCTCACTCCTCCCTGCCTGTTGAGCCACTGTGAGCTCACTTCCTGGTCCTCTTGAGGACCCTGCTCCTTCCTCTGTGAGAATGCTTGCCAGGTGCTCTTTCAAAGTGGCCATGCTTGGCCAGGCACGGTGGCTCACACCTGTAATCCCAGCACTTTGGGAGGCTGAGGCAGGCGGATCAAAAGGTCGGGAGATCGAGACCATCCTGGCTAACAGAGTGAAACCCCATCTCTACTAAAAATATAAAAATTAGCCAGGTGTGGTGGCACACTCACCTGTAGTCCCAGCTACTCGGGAGGCTGAGGCAGGAGAATCACTTGAACCCTGAGGCGGAGGTTGCAATAAGCCAAGATCATGCCACTGCACTCCAGCCTGGGCAACAAAAGTGAGACTCCATCTCAAAAAAAAAAAAAAAGAAGTGGCCATGCTCCTGCTGTCTCCCACTCTCAACACAGGCTCCTCCAGGGCTGCGCCAGGCTTACCCAGCCTGCTCGCATGGTGAAGGGAATTACCAACCAACTAGACATGCAATAGGTGACAAGCAGACATTCCAAGAGGCCTCTCTCAGCCCCCTTCTCACCTGCCAGAACCGCCAAACTGCTAGTGACATTTCTGCTTCCTCATTAAGAGAAACCAGAAAGAATCAATGCTGACCACCACCCCTACCAAAATCTCTGCAGGAAGGGAAGGCATATTTAGCTGCCACAGCCCAGGCTTGTTCAGATTTCCCACCCAGGCTTGTTCAGATTTCCCACCACACTGAGGATGACGCTGCATTAGAACCATCCCACACAACGAGAGTGACATGTCCCAACTTGCATCTGGCCCACATTTTACAAGAAGCTTGTCTGGCAGGCGAAATGGCCCTCGACACAGGAGCACCTGGGCCAGCACCTGTCAGTGGCATCCAGCACCCTGGCAGCTGACCTCTCAGTGCAGCCGGCAAGGACGCCCTGGGAAGAGGATGCAGCCATCTCAGGAATGAACGACGGAAAAGCCGGAGGGAGGAGGCCAGCCTGTCTGAGAGTATGTCTGAGAGAGAGGCGTGGGGACACCACTGCCATGTGTCAGGGGAGCCCCTAGCAGATCTGCTTCCATCCAGGGACACACAAGGAAAGAACATCTGAAAAACATGACTTGCTTTTGCAGAAACATTGATACTTAGGATTATTTGTGTTGTCCGTCCATCCATCCTTCCTTCCTTTTTCTTTCTCTTTCCTTTTTGTTTGATTCAGATTCCTGTTCACATAGGCT